GACGGCCCAAGAGGCCTCCAAGAGGGCCTCCAGGAAGACCCGAAAAGGCCAAACTTATTGATTTACCATGAGTTTGTTGAAGGATTTTGGCATTTGCTCTTTTTCGGCCTTCCGACGGCCCGAGACGGTCCAAATGACCCCAAGGATCGCCCTCCAAGACGGCCCACAAGAGCCCTCCAAGACGTCCTCCAAGAAGGCCCGAAAGGGTCACAGTGGCCTCCAGGCGGCCAAGATGACCTTCAAGATGCCCACGTGTTCCCCGAAGGCTTTCCAAACCGACTCGGGGAACACATGGTCCGAGAGCTTGGCAGGTCTGGCCTCAACGTTCCAAAAAGGCAAAGGGCGGCGGAGATTCGCCGTAGGCGTCTTCGATCCGCCGCCCCCTGTTGGCTTGCCACAAGAGTGCCCGGCGTGCTAAATCCTTTCGGTTTTGGTTGTGGTTCTTTTCCCCCCCAAAAAAAACTCCCCCTGGGGTTTCGGTCGATCCCGCCAGGGTCCCGGAAAAGCTCCCAAACCACCTAAACGACAACAACACATTCTCCAATACGGCTCAAGATTGCCTCTAAGATGGTCACGTTGGCCCAAGATGGCCTTCAAGATGGCCTCCCAGTCGCCAAAGATGGTTAACGATGGCTTCCAAGACGGCCCGAGAGTCCAATATGCGTTCAAGTTCGTCCAAGAAGCCTCCAAGACGGCCTTAGACGGCTCCAATGGCCTAAGACTGAGAGGCCCCCGAGAGGCCTCCAAGACGTCGTCCAGGAAGGCCCGAAAAAGGGTAACAATCATTGATTTTCCTTTGGTTGTTGAAGGATTTTGGCATTTTCTTCTTATCAGCTCTCCGACGGCCCATGACGGCCCAAGAGGCCCCCAACATCGACCCAAGAGCGCCCCCGCGACCTCCAAAATGGCCCCATCACAACCAAAGAGGCCCCCAAGAGGGCCCCAAGAAGAGTCCAAGACGGCCCAAGATGGCCACGAAGACGCAGAAGATGGGTTCCATGATGCCTCCAAGACGGCCAAGAAGGCCTCCAAGACAGCGAAAATGGCCCCAAGATGCACCCAAGGCGGCCCTATATGGTCCAAGGTGGCTTCCAAGATGCGTCCAAAATGGCCAACATAGCACCAAGAGAGCCCAAGATCTGTCCAATTTGGCCTCCACAGCGGTCCAAACAAAATTGCCTTCAAGACCGCCAAGATAGCCTAATTGAGCCCCAGAGTGTCTCAAGAGGCTCCCGAGAGGACTTTTCCTCCTTTCCCTTTTTTCTTCACTCTCCTCCTCTTCCCCAACCTCTTCCGAGTGTTTTCCAAAAGCTTTCCAAACCGATTCGGGGAACACCCGTTCCGAATGATTGATTGGCAAGGATCTGACCCAACCTTCGGCGAGCAGGCCCCAAGACGCCTCCAAAAGCTCACAACAGCCCCCAAAGGGCCCGAACATGTCCATTCCTCACTCTCCTCCTCTCCCCCGTCCTCCCCCACGTGTTCCCCGAAGGCTTTCTGAACCGATTCGGGGAACACATGGTCCGATAGCTTGGCAGGGCTCTGGATTCAACGTTCGGCCACATAGGCGCTTCCGAAAAAAACAGGGGGCGGCGTTGACGTTTTCGGAAAAAACTTCTCAATATGCGCTGACGATTCCCATCCGCCCCCGCACGATGTTCCCAGATGCGCCAAGGCAGCGCCGGTACGCACCGACGCGACTCTGAGATGCCCCATTATGATACAGCGGGGGGCCGGCGGCATGGGGCGAAGCCCCTACGGATAACTTGTTTACAGCGGCATGGAGGCAACATCGATGGGGGTCCAGGGACACAAATTAATGCACACAAATCCCTGGATTCCCCAGATTTCAATACTTTGGGGGGTTTTCGCCATCCCCACCATTTCCCATATTTTCCCACATTTTCTGGGGAGTCGACGATTGAGTGTGTGTGTGTGTGTGTGTGTTTTTTCCCGTCTTGAAACATGTGATCACATTGTATGGTACATGCGGAGGGTACCATGTGTAACTAAGAAATCGCTGAGATCCACGCACGCAGCACCACGGCCCTGCGTGCGACATGCACAACGACAGAGCGCAGAATCAAAACTGTTCGTCGCTGCAATGGTTGTCGCATCTTGCCGTCAGGCCGCGCACCGCTACGGTGCGGCTCTTTGGGAAATCAGGCGCGCGCGCGTCAGAGCACCCTAACCAGCTGGACAAATTGCGGGGGGGGGGCCCAGCTCAGCGCATCTACGCGCTACCAACACGGGGTTGCCCTTGCAGCTTAACGTGGGGGCGTGTACGAATACGAGTTAGCCTGCTGTCTGACAGTAATTGGAAAAGGTCGAACGAGAGGGGCTCGTGAAGTTCAGCAGGCAGGGAAGGATAGGGGAGAGGAGCCTCACTGCGCTGCAGGCTTGGCCTGCGAGAGGGGGGAGCGGAGGAATGCGCGTGCGACTACGAATGTAATGATGCAGCGGCCTCATCTTCAGCGCCGCGCTGAAGCTCATCATTGATTTCGTCGCGCGGGCGCTGCCGGCGCTTGTCGGTCGGGCCGGATGGTTTGTCCTTGAACGGATCTGATTCATTCGCTGATCATGCGGAAGAGGTCCAGTCAGACTGATGATATTTGATATCTCTTCCTCCATCCGCCCCGCTGGGGTGGTGGCGCGCTTTCTACTCGGCCCTCGAGCCATCCACGGCGAGCTCGCGAGCTGGCCATCCTTGAGCTCCCACGGCCAGCTTGGCGATGTTTGGGCCGTGGGTTTCTCGAATGTGATGAATGGTGTTTCAACCGTCGACGTTTCGTGGTTTGTCTCTGGTTCTTGCCGGGTGTCTTCGGGCTGGCACTGCAACAAGCGCTGGGGCATCTGGTCCTCCACGCGGCCCCCCGCTTCGCAGACTATGAACCCCTCCAACGTTGACAGAGCCAAAGCTGGAGTCGGTGGACCCAGCTGTTTGAGCACCTCCGGGTGTTTGCCGGTCTCGAGGGCCGCGACCCGAGCCTTGAAGACCTTCAGTTCCTCCGCGATGTGAGTCAGGATCGGGCCAGTTGCCTCGAGGGCCCACGTCCCCGCCACAACACACTGGCTCGCGCGACCTTCCTGGGAAGTCTGGGGGAGGAGGGTCATCGTGGACATCAGGAGCGAATGCAACTCCCCTGGGCATCGCTTCTGGAAGTCCGTGGGGCTAAACACCACGATGTTTTCCTTCTTGAGCTTGTCCGCGCGCGGGAGGGATCTTCAGGTCCTGGATGTCCTTTTCGGGGAAGTCCGTCTGCAAGTACCACGCCCGCGGCGGCTGGGCTTCCTGGTCGATCATCTCGACGCACACGCCGTAGGACGTCGATCAGGGGTGGGGTGCGCGAGCCACCCATCATCTGGCTAGAGATTTGAGGGGGCCGCGCCCGCGGCGCGAGGGTGTCCCGAACTCTGTGGTGCGCGCCCAGAGGCCGCGCGCGGGAGAAGTGACCGGCCACCTGACTGCTCCCTCTTGAGCAGGGACCGACCGTCCCGGCATTCCTATACAGTTGGATTTGATTGGAAAAGACACGCGAGAGGACATAAGACCCTTCCGAGGGCCACATTGTCACAGGAATATAGGGAGCATGGGTCGCGAGACACAGGACACAAGGGCACCGTTGATTTGGCAAGGTCGACCTACTAATCTGGGCCGACTGTAGGCCTACCACGAAGTGTCCTTAGAACCCAAGAATGTTCTGAAAACAAAACGAGGTTAGTAAAACAGAAACCAAATGTGGTAAAACAAGACAGTCCAAACCAGAAATGTTCTAAGAACATGTCGTGGACACCACAAGAACTTCTGAAAACACTCTTTGGTAGGCCTAGGTGAGCCAGGACGCTTCGCCACTGCTTGACTCTCGTGCCCGAGGAGAGTCGGGGCGAGGCTGGAGCAGCGGACGGAGTGGTGGAGCAGTCGGATGGACGTAGTGAAGCGTGCATCGGCGGGGCGCCATGTCTAGCTGAGGGGTTCGGTGCCCATTCTGGGAGTGGCGTCTCGTCGTTGGGTGTGGCCTGGCCCCCCCGGCATAACAAAAGGATTCAACGCATTATTTGTCACATGCTTCTCGTCACTAATCCCGATCCTATTTTCGTGACCGCCCTCATGATCACCGATAGTAATTGATCAGGAAGGTCATTAAGCATTGTCATCATCATCATCATCATCATCATCATCACCATCATCATCATCATCATCATCACCATCATCACCATCACCATCACCATCACCATCATCAATCATCATCATCACCATCATCATCATCATTTGCATCAGCATCCTCATCATCATCATGATTATCATTATCATCATCAGCAGCATCACCATCACTAGTATCATCATCCTTCTCATCAACATCATCACTATCATAACCAACTCATCATCTTCCCCACCACGGCCGCCATCATCATCACCAGCAGCAGCGCTGGCATCACCATCACCATCACAACCCCAATCAACACATCATCATCGTCGCCATCATCAGAGCTGGCGTCATCGTCGTCACCATCAGCATCACCACTACCATCATCATCACTTTACCCACCCCCATCCCCATCACTCCCATCACCATCACCGCCACCATCACCGTCACAATTATCAGCATCATCATCACAGTCATCATCCTCAGCATCATCATCTACATCATCAATATCATCATCATCACCGTCATCATCTTCATCAACATCAACATCAACATCAACATCAACATCATCATCATCATCATCATCATCATCATCATCATCATCATCATCATCATCATCATCATCATCATCATCATCATCATCATCTGCAGCAGCATCAGCATCAGCATCAGCATCATCATCAGCATCATCGGCGGGCCAACGGGGGTGCGGGGAGGGGGAGACGACTGGAAGAGCAGCAGCAGCACGAGCCGGAACAGCAGCCGAGACACGGCGGCTCACCGCCCGAGCAGCGGCAAGAGCGCGAGGCCCCCCGCGCTTCTGCCCCTGGGGCGCGGCCCGGGCGGGGGCGGGACCGCGGCCGGGTGGCGGCACTGCGCCGCCATCAGCAGCGGGCTCGGCGCCTCGCCGAGGCGAGCAAGGGGGGGAGGAAAGCAGGTAGGAATGGCGGCGGGGATGATGATGATGATGATGATGATGATGATGATGATGATGATGATGATGATGATGATGATGATGATTGATGATGATGATGATGATGATGATGATGATGATGATGATGATGATGATGATGATGATGATGATGATGATGATGATGATGATGATGATGATGATGATGATGATGATGATGATGATGATGATGATGATGATGATGATGATGATGATGATGATGATGATGATGATGGTGGTGGTGATGGTGGTGGTGATGATGACGACGACGATGATGGTGATGATGATGGTGATGATGGTGGTGACGACGGTGATGACGACGGTGATGATGATGCGGCTGCCGGAGGCGGAGTGTCCCGGCCGCCACAGTAACTCAAGACCAATTGCTTCCTGCTCTGTCTCTCACGCCCAAAATGCATTACAACTAGCCCGCCAAATTGTGTTACAATTAGGCCCCCCAGGTCCCCACCAGATGTTCACGGAATGTCAGTACTACTCCCGGCTCAGAACACCCAGGCAGAACAAGCGCAGAGCGGTCGGCCCACCTCCGAGGATGGTGCCCAGAGTGCCTGCTGACCTCGCATGGAATCGGCCCATGCAGCCCCAGGTTGGCAACCCGAGAAAAGCGGCGGGTCACTTAGCCTGGAGCCGCCACTGCTGCAGTTATGGGGCCCTCTGGCTGGCCATCGCTCGGACGTCCATTTCCTGTGTTTTTTTCGGTTTCGTGCGCGTTTGTTTCGCCAAATGATCAAAGATGCTCCTCGATGGTCCTCGCCGAAGGGAAAATGCACACGTCCGAGCGATGCCAAGCCTGGTGGCCAGCCAGAAGACGAGGGCACGGGCGCCGCACCCACGTGCCCGCCCGCCGCCGGCCCAGCGAACCGATGGCCTACCCACAGCAGCGCCAGGACATCAGCTCCCCCCCACATCCGAACGTTAGGGCCCCCCGTGAAGTGAGTCCGTTTGGTCTATCGGGGAAGCGTATCGGGGGCGACGATAGGGGCGAATAGCCCAGGGGCGGGCATTACACGTATTCGCCCGGGAGCCTTTTCGAAGACATAGATCATCGGCGCACCTGAATGCATGTCTTGCTCTCCCCTGGGCTATTCGTCCCCATCGTCGCCTCTGAGCGTAGGACTCGGCTGGGGGGACTCGGTTGGCCTGACGGGGCCATCATGAACGTAACGATGCCCATCTGAAATTTGACGCGAACTCCCACTGCAGATATCCAACGAACACTGGGCCGCAGCATCCTGGACGCGCACCTCGAAAAGCGTCGGCAAACCCGAAATCCGGCGCACTCGAGTGTTACGCTTGCCCGAAACGAGTCGTCCTTCCAAGGCGGATCGGGGGGCTGGATTCGGGGATGGACAGAACCTCCTTTAGGAAAACGTGGTTTAGTGAAGACGACCTCGGGCCCAAACCTGGCGGGCGCAAGCCTGGAAGGTGACGGCCTCGGCGCCCTCTCGAGAACCGAAAACGGACGATTCACTGATCGACGTGTCAGGGTGGGGGTGCTGTCCACCCCCGATGGATCCTATAGACCAGGCTGGCGAGGCCGACCAGCAGACGGCAGAACTGTTCCCCCAAGCTGCGCCCGACAAGGGTGCCGAGCGGGCTGGCCCCCCCGCCTGGCTTCCAGGGAGACGGCCGAAGTCTTCTGAGGCACGGGCGCCTCCCCCCCGAACAAGAAAGACTGGGATGTCCAGGCACACTACAGTCGGGCTCGATTGGAGAGGACACGCGAGAGGACACCAGACCCCTTCCGAGGGCCACGTTGCCACAGAAATGCAGGAGGCATGGGTCGCAAGAAACAGGACACGAGGGTACCCTGGATCTGGCAGGGTCGACCTACTAATCCGGGCCGCCTGTAGTCCGAACGGTGGGTATGACGCTCCTCCTTTGGAAGGAGGCTTAAGACCACAGTCAAAACGTGTACCAGGGATGCGCGGCAAGGATGCATGGGCCGTGGAGGGCCATGGTAACGTTTTTCGAGCGAGGCTGGCCAACGAAAGTCGCTAAATATGGGCCGACGGGGCAAGGATGCAAGGGTAACCTTGGAAAACCAATAAGCCTTACAGTGGGGGATGACTGCATGTGATGGACGCAGACACCCAAACGCGCTTTTGCTAATTGTCGCAATCATGGTCTTGCTCGCTTGCCGCTCTGGCTGCCCAACAATCTGGGCGTCGCTGTACGTGTGCGTGCCATGGCGTACCTGGAAACACATGGAGCTTCGACCACTGCGCGCCCGCCATTTGACTGATAGCGCGGTCCCTGCGCCATCAACGATGATTCGACGTCTCGCTCCGTTCGCAGCGAAGCCGACGCCCCAGAAAGCGTGCCTGTCGAAGCTGACCCGGCTCGCTTTGATCATCTTCTGCCTGTCTGGTCTCACGAACAGGTTTTTTGGTCTGCGGGGCGAGGGCGAACCTCTTCCGATAAAAGCTAAGCGGGCTACGCACAGCTCTAATTGGGGAGACAGGGCACAGGCGGGCGGGGCCTCAGGCGGCCGGAGAAGGCGGGGCCCGGGGTGCAGGCGGCTGGTCTCACGAACAGGTGGTCCCCAGCTCGGGCCGCAGGGCTGCCTCTGCAGCCGCCGTGAAGTGAGCGGATGTGTCACCGGCGGGCGCGCAGCGGAACGGTTTGTCGCTCCGAACGCAAAAGAAGAACTCACAATTGCCCAACATGAAGCCGACCTCGGCACGGCTTAGCAGGTCCATGCACGATGCGAAAATACCATCGGCGGCGCGCTGGGACAGCGTGCCCGCAGTGACCGCCCCCGTGGGCGAGGCTCTCGGCATCATGCATTCATGCGTCGTCGTGCCCATGACCTCGACCTGGAAAGCGGGCGGGAGCTGTGTGCATTCGGATCACAGCAGAAAGCTTCCGAGGAGCGCCCTGAACGGTCAGATTTCTGGGGACACAACTGTACCAAATCTGGTTTTCGTGGGGTGTTACGTGCGCAGTGGTCACTTCAGCCTCGCGGAAACTGTCCCTCCTGATCTCCAAGACCTGCGCTGCTGTGGTGAACAAGTCCTGCACCTCTCCTTTTCTTTGAGGCGTCGTCACAACCTGGTGCCTGTGGGCGTTCGTCGGCAGGCTGGCGAACGCTCAAAAACAGCATATGTTGTATGGGTTCCGTGGCTTTGCTGCCGGCGACTCAGCCCGGGCCGAGGGGTCGCCCATAAGTGTGCGACTTTGCCTCGGCGTCGGACTGGACGCCCACGGGCATATTGGTTTATGCACTTCCTCCTCCTCCTCCTCCTCCTCCTCCTCCTGATGAGTATCCTGCTTGTCCCGCGCCACGTGTTCCTCACGATCTTCCTGCTGCTCATCTTGCCCATCATCTACCTCGGCCTGCTCTTGAGGATCAACCCGCCCCTCCGTCCACGCCTGCTCCTCCTCCTGCTGCTGCTCCTTCTCATCCCTCTTCCGTTCCCCTCCTGCCTCTTTACCATCTCCTCATGTTAGCCCCTTCCTCTTCCTCCTCTGTCCCCTTATGGTTCCTCCCCCCGATTGCCCCAATGCTCCCGCCCCTGCTATTGGTCACACTCCCCCTGCTCCTCCTGCTCCTCCTCGTCCTCCCGTTTGTCTCTTTTCTCCACCCTGCTTCTCCTCCACATCCTCTCGCAGTGGTCCCCCCCATCACTGCCCAGCAACACCCGACCCTGCGTTTGGCCACACTCCCACCGCTCCTCCCGCTCCTCCTCGTCCTCCCGCCTGTCTTTCTCCTCCATACTGCTGCTCCTGCACATCCTCCCGCAGCGGTCCCCACGTCGCCGCCCCAGTGCCACAAACCACCACAGAAACAGAAACCTTTTCGGAGGTCCGCGCCGATCTCCCGCATCGGTGCCAGACCCTGGCCATCGCTCGGACGTCCATTTCCTGTGTTTTTTTTCGGTTTCGTGCGTGGCCTTTTCGCCAAATGATCAAGGATGCTCCTCGATGGTCCTCGCCCAAGGAAAAATGCACACGTCCGAGCGATGCCAAGGACCCCCTCCCCGGCGCGCGGAGCACGCCAGGGGGCGAGGGGGTGTCCAGCGCCGACCCAAGAAGGCCGCGCAGACCTCCGAACGGCCAGTTTGCTTCGGTGTTTGTTCCCCGATGCCGACCGCACTGAAGGGGCCCAGAGGCACACAAATCAATACACGCGAACCCCACGATTTACCAGACTTTTCCAGATCTTCTGGAGTTTCGTCTTCCCCCCCATTGCCAGTGTTTTCGCACATTCTCCTGGGAATCGACGGTTCACTGTGTCCGTGCGTTCTTTCCCCTCCTGATGCACGCGGGAGTGACCCTGGGCAAGAGTGACCTTTGGTGCGCGGAATTTGGGGGGCACGAGGGGGCCAATCTGAGCGCGGTCGGGGGGGACCCCAGCGAGCCCGTACCAAAGGTCTCTCCGGCGAAGGGCCACTCTTACGCGTGGTCGACGATGTCCTCCTTGGCATACCGACGCAATTCTGCCAGCAAGATCGGCGCAGTCCTCCGACGCCGGCGCCACGGACTGGTTCAGGTCCGCGTGGGCGTTGGCGAGAGCCTGCCGCGGCGAAAGAGGCTTGATATCACGCAATCGCTCCGTCGCGCTGCTGCTGGCTCTGCCGCCACTGGGGCACCATCGTACGAACCTGATGGCGCATGGAGGAAGGCAAAAAAGCGGCGATCCAAGAGAACCGCGCGGAACTATGAAAGTGTGTGCTCGTGCCTTTTCCGTTGCTCAAGAAACGGAGGCGCGGTAACATCAAAAACGATCAGCGACGTTCAGGCAGCATCCTATTTTCCATATGGGGTAGTTTTCGGGCATCGAGGAGCAGAGCACTTCGGGGAGGCAGAAACACTTCGAGGAGCAGAGCATCGAGGTAGAGAAAGAGGCGGGGCCAGAGGCGGCCCTGGAGAGGAAGGGGGAAGAGAAGGAAGCGGGCATGAAGGAGGAGGAGGAGGGAGAGAAGACGTAGGCGGACGAGGAGGACGACGACGAGGACGCGGACGGCCGCGACGACGGAGCACGTCTCGGGGATCTTCTGACCCGGGTCAATCCAAACCCGGGTCAGTCAGGCCGTGCAGAATCCCGCAAGAGCCTGCAAAATCCTGTACCCAAACCCGCGTCAATGCGAAGGATCCTGCAAGATCCCGCACCCGCACCCGTGCAGGACCCGTGCAGGATCCCGCACCCGAGCCCGGGTCAATGCGACCCCCTGCAGGATCCTGCGAGACCGGGCGATTAGAGGCCTCTTAGATGGGGTCAAAGTAGGTGGGGTCGGTGGATCGCGCCGCATAGCTGATGCATCGGCGATGCCTCGGCGATGCATTGGGGATGCACCAGCGACGCATCGTCGACGTGGGCGATGTATGGGCGACGCCGGCGTGGAGCAAATCGGGCCCCGCATCGGCGATGTGCAGCCATCCTCCGACCCCATCTACTCGGACCCAATCTGGGAGGCCTAGAGCGAGCAATGCGACCCTGGCCCTGCAGGATTTGAACAGGGACCGACCGTCCCGCCATTCCTACAGTCCTGCCACAAAGTGTTCTTAGCACCCGAAAATGTTGTGAGCACGAAAACAAGGTTCTTAGAACATAAACCCGATGTGTTTCGCCACTGCTTGACTGGCAGACCCCCGTTTGCATTATGTCGGGCGTGTCCCCCTACAGGGGGCTTGTGGGCGAAAAATAAGAAATGCTCAAACAATACCCCGCGAATATTCAAACATAGTCCAAAGATCGTCCCCACAGTATTTTTTGACAATTTCTGAATATTCCCCCTAGTAGAGGGACACGCCCGACTGAACGTTTGCATTGAACCCCGTCTCGAGGCTCCCGAGCGTCCTCTTGCCGAGGACGCCGGCAGCAGCCTGCGCGAGCGCGCGGCCCGCCACCGACGCGCGGCTGGCGCGCTGGGCACCCCTGCCGTGCCTCTGGCGCGCGCCGCAGGAGCACCGCCCCCGCCGCGGGCCTGCGCTGAAGTCGGGCCTGTCCCTCTACAGGTAATTAAGTTGGGCGTGTCCCCCACACAGGGGGATTTTCCACGAAAAATCACAAAAAAAATACACCAAAAATGGGCCAAAACTAACCCAACAATATTCAGGGGACTTATGTTCTGAATATTGTTTTGACATTTTGGGGTATTTTTTCGGTATGTTTTATCTTTCGTCGAAGATCCCCCTGTTGGGGGACACGCCCGACATAACCCCACAGGGGGAATATTCAAAAATAGTTGAACCAAAAAATAGTCTGGGGACGAGTGGTTTGGCCATTATTGAATATTTTGTTCTTGCATGTTCATGGTATCTACAATTTGTCGTGCAGAATCGGCCTTGGGGGGAGCAGGCCCGACTTAAGCCTGCGCTCGCCGGGCGCACGAAGCTCGTCGTCGGGCGGTCTTCCGGGCGTTGTCGTACGCTCTTTGATAAGGGGGCCACGTGCGAGTCCTACCCAATACCCCCTCGAATTCTGAGGGGGGGTATGGGGTGGGGTTCGCATGTGGCCCCCCATTTGCGGTTTCCCAGCCTCTGGGGGCGCTCTAGCAGCTGAGCCTCGCCGAGAACGTTCCGGGGGAGCCCGGCCCAGATCGTCCCGAACGGCCGCTGGAGGCACGAGTTGCGGCTCCAAGACCAGACGACGGGGACCGCTTGGGGGAGACAGGCTCGGGGGAGGGCATAGAGCTGCAGTCGGCGACGCACCGCCGATAGATCGGCGACATGGCCCCGATAGCACTCGTTCCTCGACGTGGTGGGCTATCGGGCCCCCATTGGCGATCAGTGGGCGATTGGGGGTCGATGCATCCCCACACCCAACGTTTGACGATCGAGGACCGGCTCGGATCGTATCATCGATCGCTCTTTTCCCGGGCCCCCTGGCTCCAGGGCCCGAAACGGCAGCGGAGAAGCAACGATGGATGAGGATGGGGGACAAAGAGAGACGAGGCGAGAGAGATGAAGCCGGAGGCGAGACAGCTACATGGTGAAAGGCTGGAAGGGCGACAACGTTGACCCCGAGTTCGGCCCCTCCACAGCAGGCTTCGCCAACGCCGAGACGGCGGGCAGCGTGGGCCCGCTGCCTCCCAAGACGCCCCCAGGCGGAGGAGGAGGCGGAGGAGGAAGAAGAGGAGGAGGAGGAGGTGAAGGAGGAGGAGAAGGAGGAGAAGGAAGAGGAGGAGGAGGAGCAGTGGAGAAGGAGGAGGAGGAGGAAGACGAGGAGGAGGAGGAATGGGAATGGGAATGGGATCAATGACGTAGTCATATAAAACATGTTTGGACTTGGGCCTAAGGCCCCTCTCAAAACGGTCCAAAAACTCACGCCGCTTCTTGGATACAGACTGGGGATCGCTGCCCCTCGTCCCTATCCCAAAACTACGATGCGCGATCACTCGTACATCAATCGCCACCGCTGTTTGATCATCCATTGCAAAATCGCGTCAACAGAGAAACACACACGCGCGGCGTCGCGCGCGCATGTAAATGAACATCCAACGGTCGTCGCAGCATTACGCGCGCGCGTTCGAGCAAATTCTCATTGGCAGGCGCCCCGCGCGCGAGCGCCCAGATAAATCAAACGCCCGCGCGCGCTTGCGTTGGAATCGGGGGGCGCGGCCCGCGACAAACTGCACCGCGCGGGCCGCCCGCGCGCGCGTCGGCCGCGCGCGCGCGCGTTGAAACCCCCCCGGGGCCTGCGTCGCCGACGCGGGGGCGCGATCATCGACGTCGGCGCGATCAAAATTGGCGCCGCCATTGGCGCCGGCGTCGTCGTCGTCACCGTCGCCACCAGCATCGCTACTATCGTCGTCGAGTCCGCCGCTGTCGACGTCGCCGCTGCCGCGACGAGAAGTCCCCGGCGGCCAGCGCTGCCGCGGCCGCGCCGGTCGCGCCAGACTAGCCGGCCGCACTGCGCGCGAACTAACGCGCGTCAGCGCGGCCGCGGCGATCCGCCAGCCAGCGCCGATCAGTCGTCGCATTCGTCGCCGCGTGGGCTTTGCAGATTGCGCGAGTCGTGGAATTGTGCACTTCAATGCCGGCAGAGCGAATGCATCCTCCTTTCTAAAAAAGAAATAGGATCTACCCTCCCGGGGCTGACGGCCCGCGCTGTCGCGTTGCAGCGCGAATGTGACTCTGCCCCCTCGCCCGCCCATCCTCGATGCGAAGTGATGCCGCCCCGGGCAGGCCTGCGTCGGCCCCCCCCGCCATGCTCTTCCAGAGATATTATGCGCGCGCATTCGCTCGTCAAAAACCAATAGTTTTCAAAGGCCCCTTGCAATCCGAAGCGCACGCGCGCGCGCCGTCGCGCGCGCGGGCAGAAATCCCACAAAAACCGCCGGCGTCGCAAGCACATCAAAATCGAGCGCCCCGGACAACATATAGAAACGCATGGCCTTGCAACGTTGACAAATTGCGGCGCCCTTGCGCGCTCTCTAGCAAAACTGCGGCATGTCTACAAGTTCGAAAAATGCTACCCAGCGGGCCCCTCGCGCGCGCATGTCGAAATCGTTCGAGCGCCACTGCGCACGTCTGCCAAAATCCTTCAAAAACTGCCGGCGCCGTGCAGATTTCAAAATCGAGCGCGCCGGGAACATGTCAATGCATAGCTTTGCAGCGGGCCCCCCCCCCGCACCCGCGCGCGCAACGCGCGAACTGCACTCGCGGTCTTGCGGATTCTCGAGGGGAACATCAGATTGCCACCCTCTCCATTCGATTCGCCCGAACGGGCCTTTCGCGCCGCTTGTCGGTATCATTCGAACGCCCTTGCGCGCGCGCTGAGGGTCACGATCCGCGCCTGATAATGCCGCGCGGGCCACTCTCGCGCGTCGGCCGCGCCCGCGTGCCGAACTCCTTCCATGACCTTCATCGCCGACGCGAAGACGCCGTCGTCGTCGTCGTCGTCGGCGCGATAAGCATCGGCGCCGTCGCTGGCCGCGCCGTCGCCGTTGCCATCATCGCCGCCCGCGTCGCCACCCCCATCCTCGCGCCTGCCGTCGTCGACGCCGCCGCGGCACCGCGCCCGCCCAAGTGGCCGACTCGCACTGATGCGCCCGCCGGGACGTGCCCGCAGGTCAGCGCCACCGCGGCCGCGTCGGCCGCGCCGGGCTAGCTGGCCGCTGCGCGCGCGAGCACGCGCTGGCCAGCGCGGCCGCAGGGGTGCACCAGACAGCGACAAGCACCCATGGCAATCGTCGCCGCTCGTGTTTTGCAAAACAACTTGCGGGCGGGCGGGCGGGGTGATTGCGCCGCATATATTGCAGCGCGTAGATTGCACCACGTGCATTCTACAACGCAGCTTGCGCGTCGGTTGCGCCGCGTAGATCGCGCGCCATATATTGCGAACCGTCCATTTTGGACCACCTATCTTGCAACGCATAGAGAGAATGGATGCCACAACATAAATTGCCCCACATACGCCCCCCCCCCATTCTAGAAGGATAGCAGGGTCCGACCCCCCACCTCCCCCCCCCCCTCTCCGCATTAACAGCCTCCTCGTCGTATTGTATTGTGCATGTAATTCTGCCCCATCGCCCATCTTGAATATGAGTTCGCGCCATGTCAAACAGGTCGGTCGCGGTCCCCGCCCGCGTCCCTTGGAAAAATACGACGCGCGCGCACTTGCTTGACAAAAAGCAACACAACAAAAAACTACGAAATGCACGCGCGCGCGTCGGCGCGCGCCCTTGCGAAAACATTCGAAAATGCTCCGTTTCGCCCGGGGTGCAACATCGAATGCCCCGGGCACACATATGAACACACGGTGTCCCAACATCAAGAATGCTGCAATCTCGCAAGAAAGTGAATGTACATAACATGCGACCAAGCGGGCCTCTCGCGCGCGCGTGTCCAAATCGTTCGATGGCGTTCGCGCGCGCCCTGTCGCAAGAGTGAGCCCCCCGCCCCCCAAACGAAAAAACACAAACACTGACATTGCACGACATAGATTGCCCCACATACACTCACTGCACAGATTGCTAAAAACACTCTGTTTGGGGTCCACGTTGGCTAACATACATTGATGTATATACACACCTACAAGCCGAGAGAGAGACAGAGAGAGAATGCGATATAGAGAGAGAGAGAGAGAGAAAAAAAAAAAAGGGGGCCAGTGAGAAGCAAGCAGCGTGCGAGCGGGATAGATACGATGGCCGAGACGCCGACTGTAAGAAATGTGTGGCGCCAACAGAGATGGCACTCAACATTCGACCGGACGCCGCACGAACGAGCACACGGGAGGTCGAACGAGAGACGGTGGCTACCAGAACGGCGGGGGACATTTTTACCAGCTTCGCCGTCACCAGCTGCAAGTCCTGTCCTACTATACCCAACGCAACATACATTTGGACGAGCGTGCTCATTTCGCACTGCTGAGCTGCAAGATTCGGATACGTGCACGGGTTCAGCACAGAATGCTATACAAGCAAGGTCCCCGAACATGCAGAAGAAGCGCACAGGACAGCGCATAAACTGCCGAACAACCAAGAGCAAAAGCGAAGCTTTGAACACTGCGGCAGCCAACGTACAATTGTGATGATCACACTGGCAGCAACGACGGCACCGCTGCAGGTTCGGAGGAACGACGAGGAATGTGAGGAGGAACAGGACGAGTGAGGAGGAAGGCGGAAAGGGAGGAACGACACACTCACACTACCACCACCAATAGTAAGAATAATCCAAAGCCATGGCAATACTTCTTGACTGGTCTCTACATACATATCACGCTCGTCGCCAGCACCACCTTGCGCTGGTGACCCTACAGTGCGATTGCGACACACCCCGTACGCAGGTTTCCCAGCGCGCAACACTCAAAGGACGGAACGAGAAGCTTCGCACTATGATCAGACACGCTGTGGATGCGACACGCCGGACTGTTGCCCCTAATACGTCCTCCGACGGCACCACGCCCACAAAACGCAACCATTATGCCACCGAGGAAACGTCCAAAAGGCAACGAATAAACCAAATATGGACTAAAAACTCGCAACGGCGCTTGACATGATTACGCCTACCACGTTGAGGCGGCCTCAGACCGTCCCCGAAACCCCTTAAATGAGAGCCAAGACCGTTCCAATGTCCTCCGCTCCGAGGTCGCAAAGTGCAGATCCAAGAGATCAGCGCGGAGCGCCGAAAAGTTGCTGTCGATAAGTGGGATCGGAGGACCGCGCCGCATCGCCGAGTCATCGCCAGTGCATCGCCGACGGAGATGCATCGGAGAAAATCAGGCTCCCCATCGAACCCCATCGCCGATGCATCGGCGAGGCGGCGCGATCCTCTGGCCCCATCTGCTCTGGGGAGCCCAGAAGGGCGTGCGCATCGCCGGTGCATCGGCGATGCGTCAGCTCCGGCGCCCCCTACACCCCCCCCCCGGGCCTGCCCAGGCCTCACGTAGCCTCGTCTCTCTCAGGGAGGCGACGTGACCGAGACCGTGCCCGAAGATCAGCCTCAGTTTGGCCGAGATGCTCGAAACGAAACTAAGACGATTTCCAATCTCTGTCACAGTCCGGGTCGCACTGCGCTCTCGGTCGCAACTTCGGGCGCGTCTTCGGCCACCGACCTTTCTTCTCGGTCACCTACCCCTTCTGACTACCTACCAGACCACCCCAACCCAACCCGAAGACCCGGATTTGACCCAAACTTCGGGTGGGGGGGGGGGTACGGGTTCCATGTGTTTTCGCAATGCTCCACGACCCCCCCCACTGGAACTGGAGGGCAAATTCAAGCCTTCGGGTTGGGTTGGGGTGGTTTGGTGGGTGGTCACCTTCGGCAGATAGGGGCGGGGTGCCTCGACTTGAGCAGGGACCGACCCTGCCGTTCTAAGAACAGAAACGATGTTCTTAGAACATAAACCCGATGTGTTAAAACAAGACAGACTCGGCCAGAAATGTTATCAGAACATTTCGTGGGTACCACAAACGGTTCTTAGAACATTCTTCGGTAGGGCTATAGGCGAGGCAGGACGCTTCGCCACTGCTTGAAATGCTACACGACCCCCCCACTGGAACTGGAGGGCAAATTCAAGCCTTCGGGTTGGGTTGGGGTGGTCTGGTGGGTGGTGACCTTCGGCAGATAGGGTTAGGTCGGGCGTGTCCCCCTACAGACCGATGTTCGACGAACAACTAAGAATACTCTCCCAAAAACATCCAAAATGGCCAGCAAGAATACCAGCAAACATCGCCCCCAGACTGTTTTTTGGAACTAATGATTGGATATTCCTCCTGTAGAGGGACAGGCCCGACTTAAAGATAGGGTTAAGTCGGGCGTGTCCCCCTACAGGGGGATGTTCGACGGAAAAAAATATACTCAAAACAATACTCCCAAATGATCAAACATACTCAACACATCCCCCACATACTATTTTGTTGGACTAATTTTTGGATGTTCCTCCTGTAGGGGGACAGGCCCGACTGAAAGACAGGCTAGGGCTCCCAACTTCGCGCTTCGCGCTCCGCGAAGCACGAATCATTTCGCGCTCTCGCGCCGCCCCCCCAACGGGAGAAAAGGAGGACGAGGAGGAGGGGGAGAAGGCACGAGGACCGCGAAGCGCGGAGCGCGAACAACTTCGCGCCCTCGTGGGAGCCCTTGGGTCCAGACCGATTTTGGACGAAAAATAAAAATCGGCCTGTCCCCCTACAGGCCGATTTTGGACGAAAAAGAAGCAATACCAAAAACATGCCCCAAACATGTTCAACCATACCCAACACATAGTCCCCAGATTATGTTTGAGTATCTTTTGGATCTTCCCCCTGTAGGGGGACAGGCCCGACTTACAGACAGGGGCGGGGGCCCCGACGGGCCCGCGAGGCGCGCGAGGGCCCGCGAGGCCTCGGCGCGAGCGAGGGCCCGCGAGCGAGGGGACTGCCTCAAGGCGGGGCTCGCAGGTCCCCACTTGTCGAGGCTCGAGGAGGAGGAGGAGGAGGAGGAGGAGGCGGAGGAGGAGGAGGAGGAGGAGGAGGAGGAGGAGGCGGAGGAGGAGGCCTCGCACGCCTCCGTCGGGGCCCCTTGGCGGTCTTCCGGCCCCCGGGACGCCCTCCAGCAGCCGCGCTGCGCCGAGAGCGTTCTCTGGGGTGTCCCACTCGCCCCGAAAAGGGCCCAAAACATGATCAAACACACCTAACAAATAGTCCCCATATGATACCAGAGAAAAACCCCAATCAGAATTTTGGGGCGGGGGGCTATGGGGCTTTAGGGCTTTAGGGCTATGGGGCTATAGGGTTATAGGGCGATGTGGCCATAGGGATATAGGGCTAGAAGCCTTTAGGGCTATGGGGCTATATGGCTACAGGGCTATAGGGCTAAGGGCTATAAGGCGATTCGGGCTATAGGGCTATAGGGCTATATACGGCTATAGCTTTAGGACAATAGACTATAGGGCTATAGGGCTATAGGGCTATGGGGCTATGGGGCTATTGGGCTATTGGGCTATAGGGTTATGGGGCCATGGGGCTATTGGGCTATTGGGCTATAGGGCTATAGGGCGATTGGGCTATTGGGCTATAGGGATATAAGGCTAGGCACCCCCGGGCACTTCCGGGCACCCCAGGCACCCGGGCACCCCTGGGCACCCGGGCACCCCCGGGCACCCGGGCACCCGGCCCCGGCCACCGAAATCGGCGGCCACACACCTGGGCACCCGGGCACCCCCGGGCACCCCCGGGCACCCGGGCACCCGGCCCCGGCCACCGAAATCGGCCGCTCACCTCACTTCAGCTTTATATCCGCTAGGACCCCTACAGAGGCAAGCTCTGATTGGGGAACTATTTTTTGAATACCTTTTGGACACTTCCCCTGTAGGGGGACAGGCCCGACTTAAAGACAGGGGCGGGGTGCCCCGACGGGCCCTCGTGGGGGCCCCGGCGGGAGCCGTTGGATAAGGGCGGGGGGCCCCGACGGGCCCGCGAGGCGCGCGAGGGCCCGCGAGGCCTCGGCGCGAGCGCGCGAGGCGGCGCCCGCCCGGCTGGGCCCCCCCCGCGCCCGGCGCCGCCCGTCACCCCGCGGGCGGCGACGCCCGCTGTGGCGGCCCCTCCGCGCCCGGCGTCGCCGGCTCCTTTCGGCGGCGGGCGAGGGGGGGGGAAGTGAGAAAGGGCGCCGACGACGACGACGACGACGACGACGACGATGACGACGACGACGACGACGACGACGACGAGGACGAGGACGAGGATCTTTTTTCCTCCGCGAGGCCATTCACCTCTGAAACCAAAAACGGAAGCCGCAGCGAGGGAATACGGCTTCCCCTGGTCTGTCACCTCAAATAACCTGTGACCAAGAGCCGACCTGGACAGTGACTCTTGGGAATTTCGGGTGAATGCCCTGGGAAATCTGCTTCCAAGCGAATCTGGCTCCCGCGCTTGTGGGGAGACCGAAACAATTGCGCGCAAGGTTGCCCACCTTACCGTGCCCAGAGTAGGCCTTGTATCTCAAGCACACCACTAAAGACGCGCCATATGAGCACTCAAGGTTAATGACTTGGTGCTGGAGCTTGCTCGGCACATCAGGGTCTAGCTTCTGTAGGCCAAGACAATAACCAGGCTGCGGAAGTCTGTCGGGGCGGGAGACCTTACAATAACCATCACAACGCCAGGATCTCGAGAGGCGAATCCAGCGGTGCGGGGCGAGGTCGGCACGGGGCGTCGCAGGCGGTTTCTCCCGCTCAACCCCCTCTCCTAGCCGCAGGGGCCGCCAGAGGGGCAGCAACTTTGCTGCCAAAACACCGACCGCGCGCGAGACAGCAATGTTCTGATCCACGGCCTGCATATCGAGCGGGCCAGGCTGAGGGTGAGAGCGGGCGGCAACTTTGGCAGAAGCGTCGACTAGGTTGTTCCCCAGTCGCTTAAATGTGTCATCCGAACCTGTGGATGCATCCACATCTAGGAGCGCTTCAACCTTCTGCATGTTGATTGTGGGAAGGTTATGGCGAATGAATAGAGCGCAGCCAGCATACATTCTCTTGTGAGAAGTCTGGCTCACCCAGGACATTCTCACATAACCGCGCACGTTTAAACAGTCAGTGAAAATCGTGGAGAGCCCACTGAGATGCCAAGCGGCTGCAGTGAAGGCGCGATACTCTGCGCTTTGAAGGGTTTGGGGAGAGGGGGGCCAGGGGCGAATAACCTCCTCGTGCGTCCGACCATCCAGCAGAGTAGCGGCCCAGCCCGTTCGGGACAACTCAGGGATGACATGGTTGAAGCAGGACCCGTCCAGGAATATTTGTCAAGAAAACGAGGTTCCGAAGTCCAGGTGCCCGAAGCCTGGACATAACTCGTTGAAAAACCCATCGAAATACATAGGCTGAGGTTGTTGTTCGCCTAGATGCTCCACAACTCCAAGGGAAGCTAGAACGTCGTCGGCTTTCTCAGCCCATTCGCGCACCTTAGAAGGGATGAGGGAGGCGCGAGCCTCCTCGCATGCATAACATGCCCATAATATCTGCCTAAGTGCGTCGTCGGCTTCTCAACGCAGATCGCAGGTGGTCGAGATCTCGTGCCCGAGCCCTCGAGCGCGAGATCGGGTATAGATCGCACTGCAGAACAACAATCGGACGCACCCCTTCTCGAACGGAGTCATCATCTTGCTGCGAAGCCAAGACGACGTACTGTCACCACAGGCACGGCCAACATTGAGCCTGGCCCGAAGATCCCACTCGAGCGTTTTAGCGACCGCCCGCTACAAAAAGGACCTGACCATGGCAGGCGAGACTTCCGTCAAGTGGATACCTATGCCGCGATCATTGCGGAGCACAGTGATCAAGGGCATGGGCCCCGATATTCTCTTTCTCTTCGCGCTGACCGGGCCCGGCACGGACCTCCACAGACCGGAGTCCCTGGAGAGCACAGCATTCCAAGCCGGACGAAGCGTGGCGAACGAGGTGGAAAAAGGGCACAAAGTCAGCGGTGCGTGCTCCAGACTTCCATGGCCCATCTCGCGATCGGGGCCACGGCCGCACTCTATGTGGAGTCGCCGTGGCAGAGGAGGGGTGCGGTCAAGTTTTTTCCTTCTGCCGACGGCTTCATGGCCTCGCCTGCCAGCCGCCGCAGCTGCAGGTGTTCAAAATCCGGAATACCGAAAACGTCGCAACCGTAGGTGGCACCTGGAAGGGGGCCAGCCGAAAAAAACAATTCTTGCGCCGCTGCCCACCAATGGTGGGTCGAAGCCTCACAAGACGCGCAGTGCGGTCCTTAGCCTTTTTTCATGCGCTGCTTGGCCTTCGACGACCTGCCCCGGCACCGACGCGGCCTGCCGGCAGCGTCGTCGACGCCCAAGTTCGCGGCCGAGGACGCGTCCACCACGGGCCCCGCAAGACCTCCAAGGGCCCTAGCCAGGCCCTTACCAAGCGAACGATTAGAGCAGACCAGCGCCAACTTTTCAGGGCTGACCTGGGCCCCCACCCCTTCCTCAAAGCCGCGTGCAGAGCACGCGTAGCAGGCGGGAGGTGGGCGAGGGTGAATCTGGACGTGCCGATGGCCGAAAGCCCTGAGTCATCAATATACATCTTAAGCTGGATCTGATTAGGAAGCTTCAAAAACTCGAGGGACAAAATGGAGTTCACCCGAATGAAAGTCGCAGCGATGGAACAGCCCGCAATGACCCCGCACCGCGCCCAATAGGGGCCGTCGATGAAGCCTCCGTGAGAGAGAAACCTAGCCTGGGAGTGCATAGCAACACGCGAGCACGCCAGTCCGAGGGGGAAGTTCGTGACATGACATCTGTAGGCCAAGAGTTTCAAATCTAGAAGCTCGGAGTATTGGTAAAGATCGGGAAGAAGGTTGGCGGCTTCGTCTCCTGCCGAGGTGCTGCCTTCGGCCGCAAGCGCTTGCCCCCAAACAACGTCTTGGGCACCATCAAAGGCACCGGCGCAAAAGTAGGGCCTCATGTGCCCCCGCCCCCGCGCAGCAGCCAAATCCCGAGTTCACCGTGAGCGCGGGGCACAGCGCATAAAATCCCGATGGGCCGAAAACCCACCTGGGTACTTGGCCAACATTGCCATGATCACGACAGACAGCTGCGCGGGGGCGAGAGCCGCACGCCCCATGATGGCCAGAATGCCGCACAGAGCCTGAAGCAGATCATCGCCAAGCAGAGAGAGGCGTTTCATATGGGGCCCGTGGACCGAAACAGCGTTTCCTTTGCACCGTTTGGGCACGTCTCGAATCTGGTCAGGAGTGACGGGCGGCAGGCGGGGGCTCGCCACCCCATGCGGGAACCAGGGGGCCCCCGAGGCACCCCCCCGCAACTGAAGCAATTTCTTGCTCCCAGCTCCGAGCAGTGACAACGGGTCAGCCACAGTGACGACGGCGTCGTCGCGGGCGCCCAAGGAGCGGCCCCCGTGGAAACCACGCGGATGCGCTTAGCACCCATGTCCGCACGGCAGAGCAGCCAATCGCGCCAATCCTCGGGCGACTCACGGCGAGCCTCATCTTCAACATATTTCATATTCTCCTTAAAGGTGGCCATGGGGCCGAGGAACTGGTCGCACAGAAACTCACCAGCTTCGCAGGCCCAGCACCAGGATCCTGCCCTCCAATGCGCGCAACCCACGAGTCAAGACATTGAAGGAGGCCTGAAATGGAAGGAAGATTCATTGGCGGCCAGGGCCCCAGCCAAAGGCCGCGGCTGGCCCAGCAAGCGAACCACGAAGCTTAAGCAGCGCAGCGACCGTAGCAGGCGCATCGCTGCGCCCGCGGGCCCAGTCGCCCCGCTAACATTGCAGCGAGCGGAACAAGTTGTGCAGCCAGCGGTGCAGGCGCAGAGCGGGCTGCTCGGGCACCTGGGTGCCCAAAGAAGCTTTTCCAGAATAGCCGAGGGCCCCGACCCCTAGCACCCCTACAGGGCACCTCGGCCCCCGTGACCGAAAGGAGAGCCTTCTCGGCCGCGTCCGCCGCCCATTGGCGGTGCAGTGTTATCGAGCGCGCCCTGCGCGGCGGCGAAATCCCCCTCGCCAGACTGACAAGCCCGGGCACTTAGCCGAGAGAAACCACCCCAGGCCCGAAAAGGGGGCCAGCGAACAAATGGGAGAGAGGGGCCCATGGGGAATGGGAGGGCGGGAGGTGGTTTGCTAAACCCCAGAGCCTTGATATTAGATAGGCGAAGCTGAAACTGGACCTGCGCAAGAAAGCGCGGAGACAGATCGCTACCCCGAAGGACTTGAACTCCTGAAGCGCCCTTGCACAGTCCGGCGCTCACAAAGAAGTATTCGTGAGTCTTGACTCCTCCAGTGCCCGTGCAAGCGTGGCTGCCGGGAACAATCCACTGCCCATGGGTGCGACCGTCGAGGTCTGTCTCCACGATTTGAGAAGGGTCCATGTTGAAATCGCCACCAAGGATCACGGGATGTCCGATGGTCCCCGCGAGGGCACCACAAGCGCCCATGATGGAGAGGTAAGTGTCGGACAGCCCCACCACGTCGTGGAGGTAATTACTCATGCATGAAACCTGGAATTGGTCAGGCAACTGAACAACAGCGGCGACTGCACGATGTGGCCATACTTCAGGCCCAGAATGGGAGATCAGACATGCCTAGACCAGCTCTGGCAAGCATCGCGACTCCAGCATTGAGACCTCCTTCGGGCCCGCGGCCTGCTGGCAAGAACGTGGAAGTCCATCCATTGAGCACGCGCCAACTGCTAGCCGACGCGAGATTGCCAGAGTGCCAGTGATGCTCTTGAAGAAGCACAGTGTCCGCCCTGGTCTGGGGCGACCACTTCTGGGCGCTGCCCCAGCCAGAGACGTTGCACGTTTCCACGAGAGGCGCACGCAGCCCCTGGGGGGGCCCGTCTGGACTCGGGGGGGCACAGAGGAGCGGGCCAAGAGAGCCATCGACCTCGGCAGGCGCCCGGGGGACTTAAGGAACCATAGCCGGAGTTTTTTTTTCTTTTAATATGTATGTATATACATATATATATATATATATGTATATATATATATATAACGTGCTGGGCTGCATCAGGAACCAGGCCCAGAGCAGACGGGCCGTAAGAGGGGGCAGCTAAAGGCGCGGCCAGGCCTTCAGGAACCAAAGTTGGGGCGACCTCGACGGGGCCCTGGAAGACCTGAGGGCCCGCGGGGTCCTTGCACAGGATCCCGCGGGCGCGAGCGTGCGGGGCCTTGATGTGGGCTTGAAAAGACAGCCTGGCTGGAGACGGACCGCCGAGACCCACGGGGCTCCCAACTTCGACCCCAACATCAAGACGGCGCGCTAGCCCAGCGTTGGACCGGGAAGAAATCGCCGGGCCCATCAAAGGCCCGGGCCGCAAAATACAAGGGGCGACGGGGTCCGGTCTCGCGGGGTGGGCGCCAAAACTTAAGTTAAGTGAGCATGCCGACTAGAAGATAACCGCTCGCGATCCGAACAGCTGACCTTCAAGGGGGAACCCGCGCCTGAACCCAAAGGAGGAGGAGGAGGAGGAGGAGAAGGAGGAGGATCGAGGGCGGCCCGAGGAGAAGGCACAGGAGAGGGGTTCAGGTCGGGGCCCCATTGGGACCTCCAGTCCAAATGCCCGATGGGCAAGGTGAACTTACGCCGCGGTTGGGGGCCCCCCGCTGGGCTGCACGAGGGCCGCGGCAGCAGCAGCGGGGAGCTTTGCTTGTAAAATCTCGGCGGCTCGAGCACCAGGGGCGAGGGCCTCAGCAGACGGTGCCGACGTGGAAGAATGTGCCGTAGGCGGAACCCCCGAACCAGCAGCTGGAGTAGGCCGCTGCACAGGGGCGGCCGGCGCCTGAGCCGCAGGCAGCTGGGCAGCGTGGGGCGCCGCTGCGCCACCGGTGATGCCAACGGGAGACTCCGCCATGGCTGCCGCTGCCTCCGACTGGGCATCAGCAGGACCGTCGGCTGGTGGCTGTTCACCCTCACGCACACAACGACGCTTGCCCGCCATGCGCTTGACCTCCTGGGCATGCTGCGCCTGGAATTGTTTGTAGTGCTCAGCCATGCCACCGAAAAGGTCCTTGAAAGACTGCTGAAGGGCTTCCTTGAGCTTGGCAACTCTGTTGTCGATCTCATCTCTTTCCTGCTGCGAAATCTCATAATATTCAGATGTGGGGCCTACAAATGAATCAACGTTGATTGGTATGTCGTGGTAGTTGCACTCCAGGATGTCCTTGATCTCGAGCCTGCTGGGCTTCTTGCAAAACGAGGCGTTGAGCTTGGCGACCAAGTCCTGATGCTTCTGTTCTGCAAGAGCCAAGGCTTCCGAGCATTCGCGTGCCTTAGACTGTTGTGTAGAGAGCTCCGCTGCCAACCGTTCATAATGAGCGCGCGCCTTGTCACAGCGGTCCCTGCAGCTCCGCAGATCTTGAAAGGCTCACTTGACTTGCTGACTGAGGGGCACCTCCACTTCCATAGCTTTCTTGCGGGTGGCGAGAGCCTCCTTCTGCTTGGCTGCCCCCTGCGCGTCCCCGCACTTCTCGAGCAAACGAATGAGCTGCTCCAGCTCCGCAGTGGTCGGCTCCGTCTGCTCAACTGCCACTGGCTGCTGAGCCATGAACTGAGGTCCAGCAGGAAAAGGCAGTGGCTGTCCAGCTGGCTGCTGACCTCCTTGGCCTCGAGCCCAAACTCCGCCTGCGACAGGAGGCTGCTGGCCTTCAAGGTGAGGTCGTGGGGTCTTGCTCTGCTTACAGAACCACCAGCTGGCCTTGTTCTTCTTGCAACCACATGATGTGCAGCGCCACGGTGGGCCACGCTGGTGCTGGTGCCAGTGCCATTGCGTCCAGCCCCTGCTGTCTTGCCCTGCTCACCAGCCCGTGCCGTCGGCTTGCCCTGAGGGGGCTGCCCGGAGGACGAGGAAGAGGACGACGACGCGGACAACGGCGATGACGAAGACCCCCCCGCGCCCGGCGCCGCCTGCTGCTCTTGGCGGCGGGCAAGGGGAGGGAGAAGTTCGACGAGCGCGTTCCACTACAGTCGGACTCGACTGGACAGGACACGCGAGAGGACACAAGACCCTTCCGAGGGCCACATCGCCGTTGGAGTGTAAAAAGGCACGTGGCGCAAGGCACAGCCGGGGATCTGCGAGAAATAACGTCAAAGCGCACAGGTGTTTTTCGGACGTTTGCGAGTAGGCACTTTGCGAGTAGTGGAACGCGCTCGGCGAGAAATGAGAAGGGGCGGGGCTTCTCAGAAGGCTCGGGAGCCCTTTGGCCTTTGAGAGGTTCTCTAAGCCTTCCCCGAAGAAGCAAAAAACTGCTCAGAAGGCGCGAGGGCTTCTGAGAAGTCCCGCCGCCTCCTGAGAAGGCTTTCTCCTTCTCACTTCTCCCCATCGCTCGCCGCCGATCCTCGGGGCCGCCCAGCGGCGTCAGCACCTCGCGGCGCGCGCCGGGGGGCGCGCGCGGGGGCCCGCTGCCCACGCGGAGCCCTCCGACCCGGGCGCTTCCCTCCTCCCCCAAGAAAAACAAATCTTTGGGGCGGCGGGGATTTTTTTCCCCGTTCTCGGCCTCGGGGCTGCCGCTGGGCCTGGGAGCCGTCAGGAAGCGACCCGGCACGAGGAGCCGGTCCTGGGGAGTGGTCCCAAGGGCTCCCAACTTCGCGCTTCGCGCTTCGCGCTTCGCGCTGCGCGAAGCGCGAATAACTTCGCGCTCTGGCCCCGCCCCCCCAAAGGGAGAAAAGGAGGACGAGGAGGGGGAGAAGGAACGAGGACCGCGAAGCGCGAATAACTTCGCGCCCTCGTGGGAGCCCTTGGGTCCAGCCCTCCAGGGCCCACGCATCGAGAAAGCTGGAGCGGCGGGATGTCTGGGGAGCCCCAGATCCGGGCGCTGCACTTGTTTGGGCAGCCGGCGGTCTCGCCTGGTTTCGGGCCCAGGGGCCTTCACAGATAGACAGGGCTCGCAAGGTGACGCAGAAGGATGGGGTCGAGATGGGAAAAGAAGTACACGTCGGTCGGAGTAAATAGGTAGAAACATAAAGTAGGAAGGCGGATGAAATAGATTGGGTTCAGGCCGCGTCGGGCGGGCGGGCAGCGCATCCCGACCTGCGGCGTTCATTGCGCCCACAGGACGCACATGGACGTACGAATGCAACGCGTACTCCTAAGAGGCGTGCGTCCGACACGATAAGATCTTATCGCCATGATGACATATATCCTTTCCCGAGCGGCATGGCCAGAAAGTGCCCGCCACGGGGCCTCTACTATAAGATTTGTCGGCGCGCGCGTCGCCCCTGGGGGGGGCGACACACACACACACACTCACACACACATACACACACACACACGCACATAGTATTTAGTATGTTTGGGTGGTGGCGCCGAAACCAGGCCCCACTCTCCAAGAGAGCGCCGGACAATAGTTACGTCGGGACCTTACCATCGCTCGGACGTTCACTATTCCCCGACAATTTTCCGGTTTCGCGCGCGCTCTTACGAACAATTATGTGGTGTTGGGGCCTCGTTTTGAAGAGACTGCGCCCCACGTCACTCACGCACTGACTCACTCAAACACTCCTTTTTCCTTTCTCCTGCCCTTCCTCATTCTCGTTATCTTTCCCTCCTTTTCCACCACCCTGGCCCGTTGCCGCTTCCTATCATCATCGCCATCAGCACCATCATCACCAAGATCACCACCATCATCAGCATCGCCACCGCCATCATCACCACATCACCACCATCATCACGACCACCCCAATCATCATCAGCATCATCATCATCACCATCATCATCGTCATCATCAGCAACATCATCCTCGTCATCGTTATCGTCAACATCATCATCATAAGCATCCTCATCATCTCCACCATCATCACCATTACCGTCATCATCCTCATCATCACGATTGGCATGCCAGCACACCCTCCGCACGCTTCGCGGCCCCATTGAGAGCCCCACCGGACGCCCCAGCGGCAGGGCCTGCATGGCGCACCCGCACCTGGTCAGGCACCCCATCTCGCACGCTCGTGGCCCCACGAGGGACTCAACCGAAGGCCCCGCAGCAAAGTCCGCATGGCGCGCCCGCCACCGATCTGGCGGCGAACTCCACCGAAATTCTCAGAAATGCAGGGTCCGCACGGCGTGACCGCACCCGATCCGGCACGCCCCTCACACGCTCTGTGGCCCCGCGGGAAACTCCACCGGATGCCACAACCGCACGGTGCGCACGGCGCACCCGCCCCTCTATCCGGTCCGCTTCGCTTCGTGGCCCCGCAGGGAGCTCCGCCGACGGCCCCATCGGCAAGGTGCGCACGGCGTGCCCGCGCCCGACTCGGCGCAGCCCTCACACGTTTTTCGTGGCCCCGCTGCGAGTTCCACCGAAGGTCCCAGCGGCAGGGTCCGCATGGTGCACCTGCGTTCGATTCAGCACACCAGAGAGCCGCCGGCCGCCCCGGAAGAATTCGAGCGACGCGCGCGGGTCGTCCGCGGCGCGGGGTCAGGGTGGCTGGCAAAGGGCGAGGCGCCAGGCAAAGCGCGCGGGTGTCGGGCAGCACTTGGAGGCAGAGCGCAGGGGAGTCCCCGCGACGCGCGTTGGTTGCCCCGAGAGGATTCCAATGACGCGTGCGGGCCGTCCGCGGCGCGAGGCCATGAAGTTGGGCAGCCGAGAGAAGGCGAGACTCGGGCGGGTCGTTCCTCAGGTCAAACTTCGCGGATAAGCCCGGCAAGACCCACCCAACTCAGATTCGAAATCGTCGCCAGACTAAAAAGACTCTCCGCTCGCCCATGTCCGCTTTTCTCCTCACCCATGCCCCAATCCTCTTGCCAGGCCCCCTCCTCCCTTTCACCTGCCTCGCGATGCTCGCAGCAGCATTGCGGCTGGGTCCTTCGCCAGGCTCTTGATTTCGCGAGATGATCCAACATGCCCCCGAATGCCTCACACTATCTGGCGCCCGCCTCGCCGAAAGAAATGCACTCGCCCAAGCCATGCCACGGGGCTGAGCTGGCCAGGTCGAAACGGCCACAGCTCTCCTCCAGGGGGCGCCGGGGCGTCCGCGGGCTCCGCCCGGCGGAGGCCGCCGCGTCGGGTGGCGGCGGCCCCGGCCTGCGCACCCCCGCCTCCTGCTGTTTTCTATCCTCCACTGCCAGCGCTCGGCCAGTCGTCGTCAGCATCAGACATGGTTGCGGCCTACGGCGGCGCAGAGCTTGGCAGGTGGTCTGCATAGAGAGCAGGATGACCACCCTCACATGAAGCGCCCCGACAAGCGCAGCAGTTCCGTAAGCGCACCTGCGGAAGGAGTCAAACAGAACAGGGCTGTTTAGTGAACGCCCAGGACCGTGGAGTAACCGCCAATGATGGGGGTCGGGGGTGGCGCCCGACGTGGTCGCGTTAGCACTCCTCGGTTGGCGATGTCCCGCACCTGCCATTTTTGGTTGTTCGCGCGCGGCTCAGTCCCGCGCATATTCATTATGAAGCATGTCTCTGATAACGCGTTGTGTGAGCGCGTATGTCAGGATCTCGTTGTTGCCCACTCTAACTACATTGGCGTCCATCTTCTGGACACGTTCCTCATGCCGTACGTCCCGCACATCAAGTCGCAAAGCCTGCCACTTGCTGCTGCTAATGTTGTCCTCGCATCACCATTTACCATCATTTGCAAATCAACTTCGAAATGATTTCAAACTGCGTGCCCTGCACACGATATTGAATATCCGCGTTGCCATCCCATACTACTCGCCCCACCGATGATGATACTACAGTTGCCTGTTTCGAGCTTGGGGAGTCGGTCGAGCGCTGTCCCTCTATAACGACTCCTCCGCTCGTCAATGTCGTCGTCCTCATGCAACATGCGTAGTCGGGGTCAGCCCATACCGTGGACCATGACTCTATACATTCATACAGGCGCAGGCAACGAGCTCTGCCATGACTATGGTACTCTATCTGTACTGAATGGGGACGTTCGTAAAATCTCTGGGGGGCGGGCATATGCGAGCGAGTTCCTTTCCCGCATACTGGATACCTCAACTATCTTGTGTATGGTACTTCTGTGCAGCTACAAAAGCTTCGTCCCTAATCACCTGGCGCTCTGGAAGTGGCTCCCCACCCCAAGTTAAGTGTTCAAGTATCTCCCCATACTTCTGCGCACATTGCCCTGGTTAAGCCCGAGTACACTAACCATGATCTCTGTGCGGTTTTTGCCGGCCAAACCACAACTCGCTGCTTCCACGATGCAGTCCTGCCAATTACATGCTCGACATCTGGTATCCTTCTCCGGGCCCTTCCCTGCATCAGCTATACAACCCTGTCAGTATCCTGATCGACGTCTAGCATCCTTCTCTGGGCGCTCCCCTGCCGATGATCTGAACCCCAATCTGCCCGTATCCTTAGAATCTCACCGGCCATCTGGGCGCAGGTGGTAAAGATCGATCGATATTCCAACCCCAGAGTTCCCTCCCAGGGAGGTTTTTTTTTTCCCTGCTGCGGTTCAACAAACACCGCATCCCTCACTCGACGGGTCGCCGACCAGGAACAATCTGGGCGCCACCTCACCATTCCCGCTGGCACAAAAACAACACGCACAACGTGCACAGAGGTGCAGAATGTGGATCACGAAAGGCCCCCCGTGATCACGCTGGACTGGTCTTCGAAAGCGGATGGCGGGCATGGGATCCAAGTCTTGTCCGCTGGGCGCTGGCCCGCTGTCCCTGAGGAAGCAGTGCAGACGACTTGCGGGTGTCCACGCCATGTACCATGATGACCACCCCGCCGCAACGTTTCAGTGGTATCTGTCAGGGATGGCCGGAGTGTCGAAACATTGCCTGGTGCGAGCTGGCACGCGCCCTGGTGCAACTGGCGCACTATGTGCGCGTGTCGCACCTGGCGCACCTGACGCGGCTACAGAATATGGCACGGTTGGCGCACGTGGAACAGTTGTGAAGGGGCCCTGGGACACACAAATAGATAGACACAAACAACAAGATTCCCAATCTTTTCCCATATTTTCTGGGTTTATGTCTTCCCCCCCACCTCCCATACCTTCGCCGGGGCCCCCGCAGAGAGTGGCGGCGGTCCGTGCAGCAGTCCAAGCCGCTCGCCCATCATCTGCCGTTGGGATGCCGCTAGGTGCCCAACGCTGGGGCCACTGGGTCGCACGGCTGCCCGCCAAACCTCTTCATCTGCCGAAGTACACGTCGGTCGGGAGGAGCAGGTAGAAATATGAAGTAGGAAGGCGGATGAAGTAGATTGGGCCAAGGGCCTCCCAGAGATCAACAGAACATAGCAAAAACAGGTCGATTCTTGAAGTAGGAAGGCGCTAGAAGTCGATTGGGATCTGGGAATCCAAAAATACCTGATTTCAACGACCGGCGTGTAATTACGCAACCCGGCCTGCCGTACCCTTCCCCCTCGCCCTATGCAGTTCCTCGCCCCATCTCGCCCCCTCCCCCGCCCCCTCCCTGCCCCGCATCCACCCTCCCCTCCCCGAATCCCAACCGCCAGCCCTCCCCCCGCCCCCGTCCCCCCTTCGCCCCCTGGATCCGCTCTTCCCCCCCCCTCCAGCACCTGGTCCCTGGCCCCTACTCTACCCCCCCTGCTGTGTCTGTTTTCCATCACCACCACCAGAAGTTGGATGGGGGGAAGGAGGAGGAGGGAGGAGGAGGAGGAGGAGGAGGAGGAGGAGGAGAGGAGGAGGAGGTGGAGGAGGAGGAGGAGGAGAAGGACGAGGAGGAGGAGGAGGGAGGAGGAGGAGGAGGAGGAGAGGAGGAGGAGGAGGAGGGAGGAGGAGGAGGAGGAGGAGGAGGAGGAGGAGGGAGGAGGAGGGGAAGAGGAGGAGGAGAAGGAGGACGAGGACCCCCTCCCTCTTAAACTTGTGGTGGCGGTGGTGGAAAACAGGCCCATCACCACCCTCGCCCTCCAGCCAGCCGAGGGCGGTAGAAGCGGGCGATGGCACCGTCGCGCCCTTGAGGTGGAAGGGCAGGTACCGCGAGCCGACCAGGAGCCAGCCGTCCCCCTGGTCGACGCCGAGCACCACCGTGCCCCAGGCGGCCTGGGAGCGGGAACCGTCGGGGCGAAGAGGGATGATGCGGAGGAGGAGGCGGAGGAGGATGAGGTGGAGGAGGAGGAGGGGGAGGGGGAGGAGGAAGAGCAGGAGGAGGAATAGGAGGAGGGGGAGGAGGATGATGAGGGGGAAGTGGAGAGGAAGGGGGGCAAGACATCAGAACGCCACCCTGCTCTGGCGGTGTGCCCCTGGGGCAAATCACCACACCCCACGGAACATGTGTGTATGCGAATCCTCGCAGCCCCCGCCAACATTTGGGCGCCACGCGCCCTCACTCGGAGGCCATCCCAGCCTTCCAACTCAAGAAACCATGCAAACACCGACCGCACCGCCGGCGGTCCTGGGCCACCTCGCGCAGATCATGCTGCAGAAGACAAGGCCGCTCGGCCGCAGGCGGCTTCTCACGCGGCGACATGATGGTCCTCTCTGCATCTGGGGCAGGCCCACACGCCAACACCCTCCCAAGATCCATCAAACCACGCTGCGCTTATGTCGGGCGTGTCCCCCTACACGGGGTTTTCGACGAAAAATTTAAGACAATATCCAAAACATACCCCAAAAAGGTCAAACAAATACTGAAAAAATAGTCCCTGCATTATTTTTGGACTATTTTTGTTACTATTGTTGGGGTATTGTTGATTTGTCGTCGCAAATCCCCATGTGGGGGGACAGGCCCGACTTAAGGCTGCGCCTCCGTGCAGGCATCCCCCAGGCGCACCTCTTCCTGGGCAGGCCTGGGCCACGGGCCAAGTTGCCGCCTCAGCTTCTGCGCCCGCCCGCGTAACTGTGGAGGACGACCCACCACTCCCCCGCAGTCTGAAGGGCGGCTTTTGGCCTTAAGTCGGACGTGTCCCCCTACGGGGGGGATTTTCGACGAAAAATAAAGAATACTCAAAAAAATGCTCCAAAATATCCACAAGTACTCAACACAGAGTCCCTCGACTATGTTTTGATTCTTTTTGGATACTCCCCCTGTAGAGGGACAGGCCCGACTTAATATTGGCCCCTGCCCTGCAGGCGAGGTCTCCGGGCCGCGCTCGGCGCCAACTCCCGGCGCGCATGCGCGCTGGGCTGGGATGGGCACGCGCAGCCACGCGCACATGCGGCCAACACCGCCGCCGTTATCTCCGACGCAACTCTGGCTTCCGTTGGAGAAGCCTGCTCCGCGGCGTAAAGCTTTGAGCTCAGCCGCGTGAGCGAGAGAGAGAGAGGCTGGAAGAAGCTGAGAGCTCTCTGGCTTCCGTCGGAGAAGCCTGCTCCTTGGCATAAGGCTTCGAGCTCAGCCGCGTGAGAGAGAGAGAGGGGGAGAGGCTGGAAGAAGAAGCTCAGAGCTCCAGAAGCCCATTCATTAGTTTCCGAGCGTTCCCGCCCCCCCCCCGTTGCACCACCGCCGACTCTGCCCATCGGAGCTCCTCGAGAGAACTGGCGGTGGCCGATCCGTCCCCGGCCACGCGCAAGCCGGGGCGAAACGCCAAGCGTGCGGCATCCACATCACCATCTCCAAAACGAGGGCTCTCACGCTCACCTCCGCAGGCGCACGCGGCAGGGCCACGTCGGGTCCAGCAGGGAGGGGCGGGGCCCTGGGGCCACACGGACCGACACCACCGTCGCTCGCCTGCTCACGCCGCTGCCGACCACGGGGAGCCAGAGGCGGCGCAACTGGTCCGTGGCCCGCCTCGAAAGCCGCGCACACGCCACGGCGGTGCGCCACGGCACCCGGCACACCACGGTGCCTGCACGCACCCGCGCTGGTGTCGCAGCCCCACTCGTCCCTCTTGGTGCCTGTCAAGCAGGCGCCGCCGGCGACGGCGGTGATGGCCCACTTCTCCAGGGAGGTCCATGTGCTTGGACAGGACCGTGCTGGCGAGGACCTCCCACCACACCGGCGGTAGTGTTCTGTGAGGCCCTCGCGCTTGCGCGCAGTGCCTGTGCCCCTCTCTCGCACTTTGCGCACCCCAGCCTTCAAATCCGCCGACCCTGTCCTCGCCATCGCTCGGACGTCCATTCCCAATGCATCTGTCGATTTCGTGCGTGCATTAATTCGTAAGGTGACCCACAATGCTCCTCGATGGTCCTCGCCGAGAAAAAATGCACACGTCCGAGCGATGCCACGTGCCAGCGTGTGGAACAGGTTGATCCGTTTGACTCGTCTTCGTCGACTTCGTCGTCGTTGTCGTCGTCGCTGTCGCCGCTCCCTCTCTTTCCCTGGGCCCGTCGCCGCCCTCCCCTTTTCCTGGGCCCTCCTCCTCACGCGCGCCAGCCAAAACGGAATTGAGCAACGTCGCTTTCAATTGAGCCGTAGGGAAGCCCCTTCCCATTGGCCCTTTCCCCGCCAGGGGGGGGGGGTCCCGGCGAATGGTTTTTTGTGCGGCCCGTTGGTTTTTGTGCGGTCCGTTGGGTTTTACTGCGGACCGGCGCGCGGCCAAGTGGGACTTACTGCGGCCCGCGCTGGCCATTCAATCAAAAGTAATAGTAAAACGCTTCCTGTTCCTAGCTCTGGAAATCCTGGCAACCCTTGCTGGCTTGCGTTCCCGCCCAGAAGAAAGTGGCCGCACAAAAAACCAACTGGAGGCGCCATCATCATCATCATCATCATCATCATCATCATCATCATCATCATCATCATCATCATCATCATCATCAGCATCATCATCATCAACATCATCATCATCATCATCATCATCATCAGCATCATCATCAGCAGCAGCAGCAGCATCATCTTAATGTTCTTCATCATCATCAGCATCATCATCATTAGCATCATCATTAGCATCGTCATCGTCATCGTCATCATCATGACCATCATCGTCATCATCATGACCATCATCATCATCATCATCATCATCATCATCATCATCATCGTCATCGCCATCGTCATCGTTGTCATCACCATCATCATCATCATCATCATCATCATCAGCAGCAGCATCATCATCATCATCATCATCATCATCATCATCATCATCATCATCATCATCATTCGCATCAGCATCGCCATCATCTTCGTCATTGGCGTCGTGGTCATTGGCAACATCCTCCTAATCATCATTTTCGGCTTCAGCATCAGCATCGGCACCACCAGCATCATCAGCAACAAGATCATCATCATCATCATCAGTATCATCATCAGCACCACGATCGGCATTAGCACCAACATCATGCTCGTCCTCATCCTCTTGATCCTCCTCATCCTCCTCCTGCGTCCGCAGAAAATCCTCCATCATCGCCATAGCCAGGATGATGATGATCATTATCACCATCATCATCGCAATCGTCATCGTCGTCACCGCCGTTGTTGTCATCATCAGAGCCACCACCATCTGGTTCAAAATCACCGTCATCCCCGTCGTCGTCGTCGCCTCCTTTCCTGCCGGCTCCTTCTCCTCCCGCCTCCCTTCCTGCCGGCCCCTCCTGTGGCATGATCCTCCCGCTTCCTCGCTCGCCTCCTTCACCTCGTCCACCGCCATCACCTCCTCCTGCCTCCTCCTGCTCCTCATCCTCCTGCCTCCTAGAAAATTCCCTCCTCCTCGACGTCGTCCGTGTCCTCGCCTTCCCCCTGAGCCCAATCCTCATCTTCATCCCATTCCTCTTCTCATTCCTCCTTCCAAACCTCATAATCGTCAGTCTCAGTCTCATTATCATCATTATCATCATCGTCATCATCATCATCATCATCATCATCATCTTCATCTTCATCTTCATCTTCATCTTCATCTTCATCATCATCATCATCATCATCATCATCATCATCATCATCATCATCATCATCATCATCATCATCATCATCATCGTCATCAGCATCAGCACCAGCATCATCATCAGCATCAGCATCAGCATCAGCATCAGCGTCAGCATCAGCATCAGCATCAGCATCGGCATCAGCATCAGCATCACCATCGTCATCATCATCATCATCATCATCATCATCATCATCATCATCATCATCATCAGCATCATCATCATCATCATCATCATCATCATCATCAGCAGCATCATCGTTATCACCAGCATATCATCAGCATCATCATCAGCATCTCAGGGGGGGCGAAACCCTGTTCAGGGGGCCGAGAGGTTCTTCAAGGGGGTCGAAAGGCTATTCAGGGGGCCCGAAAGGCTTTTCAGGGGGGCCGAAAGGCTCTTCAGCGGGGCCTTCACCGTTCTTGAGGATTGTTATACTCTGGAAACCTCTTGGCCGTGCGAATGCCCACTGGGCCGTACTAAAGCCCAACTGGCCGCAGTAAAACCTTATCTCGGGGTCGGGGGGGCCCGGGTCAGAATACCACCCCCCCCCCTTGGGGCGGCCCGAGTCCCAAAGAAGTCCCAAGACGAGGCAAGAGTGACCCAAGAGGCTCCCAAGACGGTCCAAAAGGACCCCGAATCGCCGAAGGATCGGTCCAATACGTCTTTACGGCCTTGAGACGGCCCAGGAGGGCTGGAAGATGCCCCAAGAGGCCTCGAAGAGCACTCCCAAGACAGCCCCGAGAGGCAAAATTCATTCAGTGCTTTGCCTTAGGTGTTTCAATGATTTGGGCGTTCTCGCCGTTTCAGCTTCCCGACGCTGCAAAACTGCCCAAGAGGCTCCAACGATCGCCCCAAAAGGCCTCCAAGAGGGTCCGGAAACGGGCCAAAGAGGGCCCGAAGACGGCCCAAGACGCTTGCAAGACGGCCCAAGAGGCCCTCAAGAAAGCTCCAAGAGGGTGCCCAGACAGTGGAACCAAACGGACATTTCGAGCCCTCGGCCCCGAGAGGCTCCCAGGAGGCCTCGCCCCCCGGAGGCCCCCAGGAAGCCCCACGAGGCTAACAAGAGGCTCCCAAGAGGCCTCCAAGATGTTCCCAAGGGGCCCCAAAAACTGACCCCCAGAGGCCTCCGAGAGCGCTCCGAAGAGATCCCGAGCAAAACCCCCAAGGACCCTGACCCACGTCAGCGTCGTCGTCGTCGTCGTCGTCGTCGCCCTCCTTCAGGGTCGGCGGCACCGGCCGATAGGCCT